CCTGTGGTAGTCATCCACACAGTGAGGCTGGTTGGCCTGGTCCACAATAAAAGAGGTCCCCTCGAGAGGGGTATGGCACATCACGCAGGTGAAACACTGGGGATGGTATGAGTTACCAGTGGCCTTCAGCATCCGGTCCGTGATGGTCTGCTTGCAGACACTGCACTTTTCCAAGGTCCCCTGAGCCCAAAGGAAGCAAGAAAAGACACATCAATACAAGCCCTCGCCCCTAAGAGGCTACGCTAGAGACAGGCAAGACGGAAGGAGGCTGAGGGAGCTGGGATTGTTCAGCCTGGAGAAGAGGAGGCTCCGGGGAGACCTTATAGCGGCCTTTCAATATCTGAAGGGTGCCTATAGAAGAGCTGGGGAGGGACTCTTTGCCAGGAAGGGTAATGATAGGACAAGGGGAAACGGTTTTAAATTGGAAGAAAAAAGATTCAGATTAGATCTCAGGAAGAAATTTTTTACTGTGAGGGTGGTGAGACACTGGAACAGGTTGCCCAGGGAAGTTGTGGATGCCCCATCCCTGGAGGTGTTCAAGGCCAGGCTGGATGGGGCCTTGAGCAACCTGGTCTGGTGGGAGGTGTCCCTGCCCATGGCAGGGGGGTTGGAACTAGATGATCTTTGAGGTCCCTTCCAACCCTAACCATTCTATGATTCTAAGGAGGAAGGGAAAGCAAGAGAGAGCAACCACAGCAAGCTCAGCTCTCTCCGGCAGCTTTCATCCCAGTGACTCACAGCATAGCAGTCCTCACAGAAGGGCTTCTCATCCACATTGTAGAACTGCTGCCCCTGCAGCTGCTTCTCACATTTGAAGCAGGTGAAGCATTCCACATGGAAGAGGGAGTCCAGGGCCTTCACAGCTGGCTGGGTTCGCGACAGGGGCTTCCGGCAGAAGCCACAGAGCTCTGTCAATGGAAGAAGAAAGGGATTAGGAGAGATGAAAACCCACCACAGTCTTAGTCCTACTGCTGTCCACTGAGGGAACGCACCAGAAGTAGCAGCCTCTGCTGGGGGTGGATGCTCCATATCCTTCATTAGTTTCTGGGTCAACATCTCCAGCTCTTCTACCTCCTTCATGGTCAGACAGGAGTTTCCCCTAGGTGGATCTGCACTGGAGCCTGTGGGTCTATGCTGCAGGAAGAGGAAACATTCAGGACACATATCATAGAATCATAGAATCGTCTAGGTTGGAAGAGACCCTTGGGATCATCGAGTCCAACCATCTACCCTACTCTACAAGGTCATCCCCTACACCATGTCCCTTAGCACTGCATCTAAACGTCCCTTAAACACAGCCAGGGATGGTGACTCCACCCCCTCCCTGGGCAGCCTGTTCCAATGCCCGACCACTCTTTCTATGAAAAATTCTTTCCTAATGTTCAGTCTAAACCTACCCTGTTGGAGCTGAACTAGCAGAGCTAAAAGTATTTTGTCTTCGTAATTCTGCTAGTAGGTTTGAAGCTTCCAAGCAGATTTCCCTGTTCAGATAAGTTGGTCTTCCGCCCCACTTGCTTGACTGAGGACACAATGGGATTGCCTGCTCCTGTGCTTTTAAAGGGTTGTTCTTCAGAACGGACCATCACTCCTGGACTCCTAAGCCCTCATAAAGCAGATTCCCAGGGGATGCTGCTAAATAGCTCCCTGAATAGCTTAAAGTTTTCTCATCTGAAATCCATGGTAGCAACTCTGCTGTTCTGTTCTCTTATTACACTGAAAATTTTAAACTCAGGTATTTCATGATCGCTGTGGCCGAGACAGCCATCTACCGTCACATCCCCCATGAGTCTTTCTGTAGTCACAATGAGTTTTACAGAGTACCATGTTTCTACTTTCTGTCACCTTTTTACAGTTTTCTTCCTTGCTCACTCTTGTCAAATTAAAAAAATTAAATTAAGGGAAGTCTTGGTTTGTTGGGGTTTTCTTTTCCTTGCTTGAATGAAAGTGAATTGAATGGAAATTTAATTTTTCCTCTTTAGTTCTACCGTCACATCCCCCATGAGTCTTTCTGTAGTCACAATGAACAAGTCTAGGAGGGCATCTTTCCTAGTTGCCTCACAGAGTACTTGGAACATGAAATCAACTCTTACAAACTTCAGGAATGCCCAAGACTTGCTCGTCACAGCAGTATGATAATTCCCAGTTCATGTCTGGGAAGTTGAAATCTCTCATAAGGACAAGGGCTCCCACTGCAGAAATTTCTCCTAATTGCCTTACATCCTGACTGGGTGATTGGTAGTAGACACCCACTCAAAATCTCCTATGTCTTCCATCCCCCTAATTAACAAGTCTAGGAGGGCATCTTTCCTAGTTGCCTCACAGAGTACTTGGAACATGAAATCAACTCTTACAAACTTCAGGAATGCCCAAGACTTGCTCGTCACAGCAGTATGATAATTCCCAGTTCATGTCTGGGAAGTTGAAATCTCTCATAAGGACAAGGGCTACCACTGCAGAAATTTCTCCTAATTGCCTTACATCCTGACTGGGTGATTGGTAGTAGACACCCACTCAAAATCTCCTATGTCTTCCATCCCCCTAATTCTCACCCAGAGGCTCCCAGCCACATCATCACTAACTGTAAGGGCTGTACAATGAAACTTCTCCCATACGTACAGTGCAACACTTCCATCTGCCTGGCCCTCCTGTACCCTTCCATCCCAGCACTCCAACTGTGGGACTCATTCCACCAATCTCACTAATCACAGAATCATCATGGTTGGAAGGGACCTCTAAGATCGAGTCCAAACACAAAAAAACCCAAACCAAAACAAAAACAAACAAGCAAACAAAAAAACACCCCACCACATCACACCCACTCACAAACCAATACTCTCGGGCACTAGAGCATGCCCTGAAGTGCCACGTCTACACGTTTCTGAAATCCCTCCAGGGATGGTGACTCCACCACCTCCCTGGACAGGCTGTTCCAGGGCCTGATCACCCTCTCAGCAAAGTCATTCTTCCTCAGATCTCATCTAAACCTCCCCTGCCCCAACTTCAGACCATTTCCTCTGTTCCCGTCATTATTCCCTTGGGAGAAGAGACCAACACCCACCTCTCTACACCCTCCTTTCAGGGAGTTGTAGAGGACAATGAGGTCTCCCCTCAGCCTCCTCTTCTCCAAACTCAACATGCCCAGTTCCCTCAGCCTCTCCTCACAGGACTTGTTCTCCAGACCCCTCCCCAGCTTGGTGGCTCTCCTCTGGACACGCTCCAGCCCCTCAATGTCCTTCCTGTGGTGAGGGGCCCAGAACTGAACACAGCCCTCGAGGTGAGGCCTCACCAGTGCCCAGGACAGAGGCACTATCACTGCCCTGCTCCTGCTGGCCACGCTGGTCCTGACACAGGCCAGGGTGCTGTTGGCCTTCTTGGCCACCTGGGCACACTGCTGGCTCATGTTCAGCTGGTTGTCCACCAACACCCCCAGGTCCTTTTCTGCTGGGCAGCTCCAGCCACTCTGCCCCCAGCCTGTAGCGTTTCCTGGGGTTGTTGTGATTGAAATGCAGGGCCCGACACTTGGCCTTATTGAACCTCATCCCATTGGCCTTGACCCATGGATCCAACCTGTCCAGATCCCTCTGTAGAGCCTTCCGACCCTCAAGCAGATCAACACTCCCACCCAGTTTGGTGTCATCTGCAAACTTACTGAGAGTGTGATCTGGGAGCTGACCAGTGCTTCCAGTTCATCCTGTTTCCTTCTCATACTGCATGTGTTGGTGTACAAGCAGTTCAGATACACTCTTGAGCCCTCCGTGTTCCCGAGCAGTGTAGGTGTTCCCACTAGCATTGCCACCTTCGGGTGACGCCATGCCAACCCTTGGCTTACCTACTGCCAACTTACCTGTTGGTATCCCTTTCCGCCATCAATTCTAGTTTAAAGCTCTCTCGATCAGTCCTGCCTGGTTATGCCCAGGGATGCATTTTCCCCATTGGGACAGGTGGTTCTCATCAGGCCCCAGCATACCTTGTTTATTGAAGGCTCTTCCATGGTTTAAAAACCCAATGTTTTGATGGAGGCACCAGTCCTTGAGCCAAGTATTGACATCCTGGGCTTGCCAGTTTCTTCTGAAGTTTCCCACCATTACTGGGAGGATTGAGGAAAGCACTGCCTGTGCTCACAAACGTATTTTTTTTGCAGCTTCTGAAAGCTTGCAAGGTTATTAACCTAATTCCCAAAATATGAATCACAGAATCACAGAATCTTAGTGGTTGGAGTATGTGTTTTGTAATTAATTCAGTCTTCTTTCTTCCCAGCTGGCTATAAAACCTCAGCAAATGAGTTTTGGTATGATCCTTGGGCAGAAACCAAGTAGATCTGCACTTTCAGTGCAGTGATTGTTTAAGCACTGGAGCTAAAATATATAACTGTGTCCCAAAGATGATGGTATGCCCATTTTAAACTGCATGGGAAAAAAATATAATCCTTTTTTTGTTAAATAGAGTAAAACATATTGGGAATCTATGGGCTTGTATCTTTTGAATGTGAAGCAAAGTTTGCTCTTCTAAGAGGGAAGCAGAATCCTGGGGGCTGCTCTGCTTACGTGATGGTGTCTGCTTGTGTTACGGTGTGGGTGTGTGGATATTTTGGGGGGATCCAGCTGTAGGGCAGGTTGAATGGTGTGTTTCCTGTCCAGCCATCACCCTGCACTTCCCTTTTGCAATGGGACAAATAGTATTTCTACATCATTTGACAGTGGCCTTCAGCGACCCGCGATTGGATGGGCGTACTTCACCTGCAATTTTAAGTGCACAATATTGATTGCTATTAGTGTGGAAACTTAAGAGAAGTATTCTGGAAGAATACATGATATGTTCTCTGGTTAATACTGTGCTGTTGGGGAAGGCTGATGTTATGCAAACTGCTCCCTGAATTACTGTTGCTGAAAAGAGTAGGTCTTCAGTATTCATCTGATGCCCATCAGTGAACAAGCACAATACTATATGGAGTGTGAGAAAAGGTGTGTGTAGCTGTTTCTTAACTGGGTTCTCTTTCTTTACTTTAGAAAGCAGTAGACATGCTTTTGGATAATGAAGATAAAATTTCCGTGAGTATAACAAGTTCATTTCGATGCTTTTTTGTCTTACTCATCCTTTCAGTCCTGTAAAATGTGATGTTCATCACAAGTTTGCTAATCTTTTGGGTTTTATTTATTTTCTTTCAGATTGACAGAGTTGTTGAAGAGTTAGAGAACAGGCCTGAGCTACAGCATGTGGTAAATATTTCTATATTCTGTTGGTTTCAAGTTGAGCTGAGTAAAGTCTTTGCTGGGCATCTCTTTTACAGATGAGGTTATCCTATCTAAGTGCACGCGACTCTAAAATGTCATAAATCATCAGAGCCAAAGTGGCTACTTTTGCTAATCCATTTTTTAACATGGCCGTAGCATTTTTACCATAGTAAAATAATTTTAAAATGTGAGAACTTGATAACATCCTGCTTACTTGTTAATGTGCTGCGAGGTGCTCCTTATGGCATTGCAGACACTTGGCTTCTCTGGTCAATTACTTTTTGCTCGTATCCCTCCTCTTTCCCTACACAAAAATGAAATTGGATGTGTTTGCAGAATCACAATATTCACTGTAAGGCTGTGGCTCCACATTGCTGTTCCAAAAGCACCTCTTGTGTTTGAACATGCTGTCAGTGGAATATGTAACACGTAACCATGGGCTTGGGCTGTGTTAGGGAGGGAAATTTAACTTGCTGCTGAGTGCAAGTGGGACTCAGGGCATTGATCTGGTAAAGAGCAGGTTTCTGTGTGATTCCAGGTGATTATCAAGGCTTTTCTTGTGCTCATCTAGAGAGAAGGAGCTTTGCCCCAGTATCTGTACTTTGAAGTTAAAACATTTATGTGGTAAAAATGCTGATCTATAGTTATCTCTAATGGTCAAGCATATCTAGATAACCAAAATGATTCATTTTACATGTTTATCCAAAGTTCTCTGTAAAACTCAAAATCTAGTGGTTTCATTGAAGGTTAAAGGACAGTTTCCAAACTGTTGCTGAAAGCCTGCTATTTTAGATAGAGCTGGTTTTGGAGATGTGATGAGGGTACTTCAGAAAAATGTAAAATTAATCTTTGAATCAGGATTTAATGTCTGTGTCTTTTAGTGTACGTTAGCACATTCCTGAGGAAAATAGTTTTTTTCTTAGCAGACAACCGATAATATTGCCTGAGTAGTTTTGAGCTCTGATTCTCACTTTTGATTCCTAGTATTTGCACAAGCTCTTCAAGAGAGACCACCATAAAGGCCAGCGGTATCACGAGAAGCAGATCAGTCTCTACGCTGAGTACGATCGCCCCAATTTACTGCCCTTTCTCAGGGACAGCACGCACTGCCCGCTCGAGAAGGTAAGCCCCCTAAAATCTAAACACACCTCCTCGAGTTTCATGTCTGTAGGTTGTAGCGTTGTGAATTTGTTAACGGTGTCTGGTACTGCCCTCTACTGCCCAAAGGAGACATCCTTGGAGCTCTGTGACCATCCCCTCCAGAAGTTTGGTGTGCAGAGCTAGCCCACAGCCCAGACCTTCCTCTCTCAGCTCGCAGGGCAGGAATCGGTGTGGATTTTTAATGCAGGAGTTCTGGATTCCCACTCCGTGCATACTTACAGCATGGCATCGGTGCCTGGCCTCCCTGGGCAGTAGGTTGTGGTTTTAAGACATCAACAATCGTTTTGCCAAGTCTAAGACAAGTCAGTGTTAGATCTTGAAAAATTAATAGCTCTAACTGGAGTTTTTCTAGCTTTGTATTCTAACATCCTAAGTTGCTATTGAATAATATACACAGTATAACAAGTCACTGAACCACAGAATCATCTAGGTTGGAAGAGACCCTTGGGATCATCGAGTCCAACCATCAACCCTATTCTAAAGTCCTCCCCTACACCATATCCCCCAACACCACATCTAAACGTCCCTTAAACACAGCCAGGGATGGTGACTCCACCCCCTCCCTGGGCAGCCTGTTCCAATGCCCGACCACTCTTTCTATGAAAAATTCTTTCCTAATGTTCAGTCTAAACCTACCCTGTTGGAGCTGAACTAGCAGAGCTAAAAGTATTTTGTCTTCGTAATTCTGCTAGTAGGTTTGAAGTTTTACAGAGTACCATGTTTCTACTTTCTTTAACCTTTTTACATTTTCCTTCCTTGCTCACTCTTGTCAAATTGAAAAAATTAAATTAAGGGCAGTCTTGGTTTTTTTGTTTGTTTTTTTTCCTTGTTTGAATTAAAGGGAATCAAATGGAAATTTAAATTTTCCTCTTTAGTTGGGCCAGTGTTTTATTATTTTTGTTGCTGTTAATCGCCGAGTAGAGCAGACTTTGTGAAAGGATGTCTCTCTGTGCAACTATAGTCATGACACCAGTGGAATAGTTTGAAATGCAATATTAAATATTGCATTTTACATGGTCGAAATGCTATTGAGAGCTACTGTGCAATGGCAAGAAACACTGGAAAATACTTTGTTAGTATTGCAGGCTTGGTCTTTGTTCAAACTCTTGCATTAGTAGACACCCACTCAAAATCTCCTATGTCTTCCATCCCCCTAATTCTCACCCAGAGGCTCCCAGCCACATCATCACTAACTGTAAGGGCTGTACAATGAAACTTCTCCCATACGTACAGTGCAACACTTCCATCTGCCTGGCCCTCCTGTACCCTTCCATCCCAGCACTCCAACTGTGGGACTCATTCCACCAATCTCACTAATCACAGAATCATCATGGTTGGAAGGGACCTCTAAGATCGAGTCCAAACACAAAAAAACCCAAACCAAAACAAAAACAAACAAGCAAACAAAAAAACACCCCACCACATCACACCCACTCACAAACCAATACTCTCGGGCACTAGAGCATGCCCTGAAGTGCCACGTCTACACGTTTCTGAAATCCCTCCAGGGATGGTGACTCCACCACCTCCCTGGACAGGCTGTTCCAGGGCCTGATCACCCTCTCAGCAAAGTCATTCTTCCTCAGATCTCATCTAAACCTCCCCTGCCCCAACTTCAGACCATTTCCTCTGTTCCCGTCATTATTCCCTTGGGAGAAGAGACCAACCCCCACCTCTCTACACCCTCCTTTCAGGGAGTTGTAGAGGACAATGAGGTCTCCCCTCAGCCTCCTCTTCTCCAAACTCAACATGCCCAGTTCCCTCAGCCTCTCCTCACAGGACTTGTTCTCCAGACCCCTCCCCAGCTTGGTGGCTCTCCTCTGGACACGCTCCAGCCCCTCAATGTCCTTCCTGTGGTGAGGGGCCCAGAACTGAACACAGCCCTCGAGGTGAGGCCTCACCAGTGCCCAGGACAGAGGCACTATCACTGCCCTGCTCCTGCTGGCCACGCTGGTCCTGACACAGGCCAGGGTGCTGTTGGCCTTCTTGGCCACCTGGGCACACTGCTGGCTCATGTTCAGCTGGTTGTCCACCAACACCCCCAGGTCCTTTTCTGCTGGGCAGCTCCAGCCACTCTGCCCCCAGCCTGTAGCGTTTCCTGGGGTTGTTGTGATTGAAATGCAGGGCCCGACACTTGGCCTTATTGAACCTCATCCCATTGGCCTTGACCCATGGATCCAACCTGTCCAGATCCCTCTGTAGAGCCTTCCGACCCTCAAGCAGATCAACACTCCCACCCAGTTTGGTGTCATCTGCAAACTTACTGAGAGTGTGATCTGGGAGCTGACCAGTGCTTCCAGTTCATCCTGTTTCCTTCTCATACTGCATGTGTTGGTGTACAAGCAGTTCAGATACACTCTTGAGCCCTCCGTGTTCCCGAGCAGTGTAGGTGTTCCCACTAGCATTGCCACCTTCGGGTGACGCCATGCCAACCCTTGGCTTACCTACTGCCAACTTACCTGTTGGTATCCCTTTCCGCCATCAATTCTAGTTTAAAGCTCTCTCGATCAGTCCTGCCTGGTTATGCCCAGGGATGCATTTTCCCCATTGGGACAGGTGGTTCTCATCAGGCCCCAGCATACCTTGTTTATTGAAGGCTCTTCCATGGTTTAAAAACCCAATGTTTTGATGGAGGCACCAGTCCTTGAGCCAAGTATTGACATCCTGGGCTTGCCAGTTTCTTCTGAAGTTTCCCACCATTACTGGGAGGATTGAGGAAAGCACTGCCTGTGCTCACAAACGTATTTTTTTTGCAGCTTCTGAAAGCTTGCAAGGTTATTAACCTAATTCCCAAAATATGAATCACAGAATCACAGAATCTTAGTGGTTGGAGTATGTGTTTTGTAATTAATTCAGTCTTCTTTCTTCCCAGCTGGCTATAAAACCTCAGCAAATGAGTTTTGGTATGATCCTTGGGCAGAAACCAAGTAGATCTGCACTTTCAGTGCAGTGATTGTTTAAGCACTGGAGCTAAAATATATAACTGTGTCCCAAAGATGATGGTATGCCCATTTTAAACTGCATGGGAAAAAAATATAATCCTTTTTTTGTTAAATAGAGTAAAACATATTGGGAATCTATGGGCTTGTATCTTTTGAATGTGAAGCAAAGTTTGCTCTTCTAAGAGGGAAGCAGAATCCTGGGGGCTGCTCTGCTTACGTGATGGTGTCTGCTTGTGTTACGGTGTGGGTGTGTGGATATTTTGGGGGGATCCAGCTGTAGGGCAGGTTGAATGGTGTGTTTCCTGTCCAGCCATCACCCTGCACTTCCCTTTTGCAATGGGACAAATAGTATTTCTACATCATTTGACAGTGGCCTTCAGCGACCCGCGATTGGATGGGCGTACTTCACCTGCAATTTTAAGTGCACAATATTGATTGCTATTAGTGTGGAAACTTAAGAGAAGTATTCTGGAAGAATACATGATATGTTCTCTGGTTAATACTGTGCTGTTGGGGAAGGCTGATGTTATGCAAACTGCTCCCTGAATTACTGTTGCTGAAAAGAGTAGGTCTTCAGTATTCATCTGATGCCCATCAGTGAACAAGCACAATACTATATGGAGTGTGAGAAAAGGTGTGTGTAGCTGTTTCTTAACTGGGTTCTCTTTCTTTACTTTAGAAAGCAGTAGACATGCTTTTGGATAATGAAGATAAAATTTCCGTGAGTATAACAAGTTCATTTCGATGCTTTTTTGTCTTACTCATCCTTTCAGTCCTGTAAAATGTGATGTTCATCACAAGTTTGCTAATCTTTTGGGTTTTATTTATTTTCTTTCAGATTGACAGAGTTGTTGAAGAGTTAGAGAACAGGCCTGAGCTACAGCATGTGGTAAATATTTCTATATTCTGTTGGTTTCAAGTTGAGCTGAGTAAAGTCTTTGCTGGGCATCTCTTTTACAGATGAGGTTATCCTATCTAAGTGCACGCGACTCTAAAATGTCATAAATCATCAGAGCCAAAGTGGCTACTTTTGCTAATCCATTTTTTAACATGGCCGTAGCATTTTTACCATAGTAAAATAATTTTAAAATGTGAGAACTTGATAACATCCTGCTTACTTGTTAATGTGCTGCGAGGTGCTCCTTATGGCATTGCAGACACTTGGCTTCTCTGGTCAATTACTTTTTGCTCGTATCCCTCCTCTTTCCCTACACAAAAATGAAATTGGATGTGTTTGCAGAATCACAATATTCACTGTAAGGCTGTGGCTCCACATTGCTGTTCCAAAAGCACCTCTTGTGTTTGAACATGCTGTCAGTGGAATATGTAACACGTAACCATGGGCTTGGGCTGTGTTAGGGAGGGAAATTTAACTTGCTGCTGAGTGCAAGTGGGACTCAGGGCATTGATCTGGTAAAGAGCAGGTTTCTGTGTGATTCCAGGTGATTATCAAGGCTTTTCTTGTGCTCATCTAGAGAGAAGGAGCTTTGCCCCAGTATCTGTACTTTGAAGTTAAAACATTTATGTGGTAAAAATGCTGATCTATAGTTATCTCTAATGGTCAAGCATATCTAGATAACCAAAATGATTCATTTTACATGTTTATCCAAAGTTCTCTGTAAAACTCAAAATCTAGTGGTTTCATTGAAGGTTAAAGGACAGTTTCCAAACTGTTGCTGAAAGCCTGCTATTTTAGATAGAGCTGGTTTTGGAGATGTGATGAGGGTACTTCAGAAAAATGTAAAATTAATCTTTGAATCAGGATTTAATGTCTGTGTCTTTTAGTGTACGTTAGCACATTCCTGAGGAAAATAGTTTTTTTCTTAGCAGACAACCGATAATATTGCCTGAGTAGTTTTGAGCTCTGATTCTCACTTTTGATTCCTAGTATTTGCACAAGCTCTTCAAGAGAGACCACCATAAAGGCCAGCGGTATCACGAGAAGCAGATCAGTCTCTACGCTGAGTACGATCGCCCCAATTTACTGCCCTTTCTCAGGGACAGCACGCACTGC